GGGCTCAGTCAATCCACTCACCTCAGCCTCCCAAAGGCACGAGATTACAGGCTGAGCCACTGAGCCCGACTGGCCATAATTTTTAAAAGCAAAAATTGAATTTGGGCCAGTTTGACTACCATATACTCAAATACTTCCACTAATCAAATGTGAGCATGATAGATTCATTTTGTTAAAATGCAGCTTCTTTTTTGAAAAACATACATTACATCAATCTATTTGTCTACCTATCTAGAAGTTGCTCAGTTTCCCAGAAATCCTAACACTATTCTTACAAATTCAAAAGTTAACATACATGTGTTACACTCCACACATAACTAGAAAGGACATTTTATCTTTAAACTTGAGTTTTTCAATAGAGGAAATGATGGTGGGAAGAAAAAAATTAAGAAGTGCATTGTGCTCCCACATTCTCTGACCTCCCCCACCTTATATGACATTCCAATCCATTTAGCATTACACAGTACAGATAAAAATTGACAGTCTGTCCCCATGAGAAAAGTTGACTTTAAAAAAATAACTACTATAAAAGAAATTAGTTAGCTCTCTTAGCTACAACAATGCCCGTTTTTAGATTCTACTTATAGATGAAGAGAATCTGGGACCTCCAAGTCATCTAATCCACTCTTCTTCATCCATATAAGATTGCATAGTGAAAATGTGCCTTCCCATTTTTTAAAAGCATCACAATAAAACAAATGTCCACATACTTCCTTCAAAATGCATTCCAGTGTTTGAGAGTCTACACAGTTGGGAAATTCTCTTATTTATATTCCAAATCCCTCACGCTGTAGTTTAATCCCATTTTCTCTTGTTCCCTGTGGAGAGAAAGAACAGCCGGACTCCATTCTTTCTAAACTCAATTCCTTCATGTCCTTAAAGACACCTACCTCCCAGCTTTCTCTTCTCCGGAATAAACAATAGCAGTTCCCATCAGGAAGATGTCTCTCTTGGATTGTGCATATTCACTGCCATATCACATATATTCATGCTCATCACATAAGGTTCATAACTAAAACAAGCCAAGGCTGAGAGCAAAAACAAGCAAATGCATCATTGTTTTCATGAATGAAGTTACAGATCCAGTAATAGACACTGAATAAATAGTTGAAAATGATAATCTTCCAATAATTATGTGTCAAAATTATCATAATTTTTTAAAAAAAAGTATTGACAATCTGTTGCTCTTGGAGAGATGAATTAAAAATTAAATGATTAGGTTTCAGTTTTCTTTATGCAAGTTCTCCCCATGCCTGCGATGGAATATTCCATTCAGCATTCCACAGCAGGAGCCACCATTGCTTTGACAAAAATAGATACAGTATTGGAACATTCAGTCAATGGAGTAATCCAATTGTCTGAACATTCTTTTCTGCTTTGTCATTTACATTTTAATAAATCCCAGAATATGTCAAGCTGTATCGAGTTGTACCAAGTGTAGCCAACCACATGCAGTTACCAGATGCAATGAGGGAATCATAACATGCAACTCCTACAATGCGTCAATACTTGGTTTGTGTATATTTTTAGGTTCCTACATTTTAAATAGGGGTACTCTTAAAAATGAAAAACGAATATTTTGCAAAATCTTTGCTATTTTATCAACACTCTTAGTATATTCAACTTTCAGTAAGGAAGCTATGGGCAAGTGGTGCTCTACTTAATTGCTCTAGGAACGCTGGCATTTGTTAATCTCAAAGACAGCACTATATATAGCTAGCACAATGTGGAATGTTAAAGTATTATCTTATTCTTATTTCTGTGCCAGTTTACTGTCTCCCTATTCAGAAGACAGATAATCATATTTAAAGTCATTTTATATTACATGATGTTAAGGTTTCAGGAGAAGAAGTCCTAAAAGATTGTGTGTGTGTGTGTGTGTGTGTGTGTGTGTGTGTGTGTGTGTGTGTGTGTAATGATTATTATTAACCTATATACATAACATAGTCCATGTATATGTTGGCCACTGACTGTTTCAAAACTTGGAGAGCTTTGTTATCTTGGCTTGAAAGAGTCCACTGAATTGTTCCATTGTTGCAGAGCCATAAAGATAATGGAGTGAACCTCAGTATGTTGGGGATCCAAAGGTGACAGATGTGTATTTAGAGAGAAATGTGGGTTATCCAAAGAGGAAACTCTTCAGAGTAGTTTCTCCTAGTAAAAATCACAGGGACATAAGACTTACACTTAGCTCT